TCACTTTTTTTTGTCATCAAGTTTTTGATACCTTGCTAGGTGACTGGTAGTACTTGGATGTTGCCATATTCTAAAAGTGGTACAATGAGTGAAAAGGTTGAAAGGCTTTGCTTATAGTGTTCCATGTTGTCCTCAATGCTGTTTAATTTTTGACCTAAGTATTCAGAGCATTAGAATGAGGTAGCACTGATGACATCTTATCCTATTGCTAGTACTTAAGAAGCAATTGATTGTCAGATTTGAGCTTCACTGGCCAATAAAAACTGTACAAGTACCCCCCCTTACTCTATCAGCAACTACCGTATTTTTCCGTCTTTTGAAACACCCTTGTATAAGAGGCTCTGGCAGGTGAGTTTCTCCGCGCTGATCAGCTATTCGGCAGAGTGCCAAACAGCTGAGCCGGCAAATCTGGAAGTTCTGCTGGCCAACGATCTTGCCCCCTCCCATTAGTGGCAAGCCCACAGGGGCTTGACACCTGCACCAGGCAGCATGGCAACCTACACAGGCATACCCTGGGCTGCGGAGATTACCATCATTTTTCCGTGTATGAGACGCACCTGATTTTTCAACAGGGTGTTTGCAGGAAAAAATAGCATCTTATACATGGAAAAATATAGTACATTGTCGGTGACGGTGCTAGATTATATCCACACCAAAAATTTAATGCTATACTACAATAGGCACTGTTGAGGAAAAGCACTTATTTTCTGTCAGTGTTCTTCTGATTATTAGCTGATGAATAAGTTCCTATTGGACAGGGATTTAATACTATTCCAGAAGATGATTAAACCGTGTTTAAAAATATTCAGGTAGTAGTTGACGTGCACAAGAAGAGTTTCTCTCTCTCGTTCTCTTCTTTTTTCTGCTCCCATGCTTCATGTAGCCCATCCCCATGGCCATCACTGGTTCATTGCTGTTCAGCTTGATCTGTTTTCCAAGCCAAGGCATCAGATAAAGATTTGGACAATACAGGAGAGAACCTGATTTGAAAGAAGTAGATTCTCCAGGTACCCAAAGCAGAATGGCCCTGGAAGAAAAATGGCAGAGGGATTGAAGGGGAAGGACTAGGGGTGACATGATAGCAGTCTTCCAATATCTTAGGGGTTGCCACAAAGAAGAGGGAGGTCAAGCTATTCTACAAAGCTTCTGAAGGCAGGACAAGAAACAGTGGATGGAAACTAATCAAGAAGAAGCAACCTAGAACTAAGGAGAAATTTCCTGAGAGTTAGAACAATCAACCAGTGGAACAACCTACTTCCAGAAGTTGTGAATGCTCTGACACTGGAAGTTTTTAAGAAGAAATTGACTGAAATGGTATAATGTTTCCTGCCTGAACAGGGGAATTGGACTAGTCACTAGAAGACCTCCAAGGTCACTTCCAACTCTGTTATTCTGTTAATGTGCTTGCTGAGACGCTTTCTGAGCTGGCTGGATAACTCACCCATTATTCACACCTGAATTACATTTACTTTGGCTCTTCACTGTGGTCTTGTGGAACCATCCTTGAAAAATATACAGAAGCTGCAGTTGGTGTAAGCTAAACTGCTAAGGTACATGGCACCATACTGAAAAATCTGCCCTTTTTATTCTCTCTCTCGACATGTTTGCTTTTCTTTTTCTCCTTTGTTCTTTACTGCTTCTGCTCTTTAATATTTTGTGATAGTTTTTATGTGTTTTGTAAAACTTTACTAAAAAAATCTGTAAAAAAAGAAAGAAAGATCAAAGACCTAAACTTGGCATGCACAGGTGCAATAACAAGTTCACAGATTTCTCTCCATGCAATGTCCCTTTATTTTATTTATTTTTTAATTACATTTTTATGCTCTTTTATTGTCCCCATTTGCCATTTCCCCTCCCTTAGGCATGGAACAATCTTGACCTTAAAATATATAGAAGAGATGTATGGAAAAGGAAACTTTTTCCACTTCTTTCAATGCATTTTTTTATTCATGTATGTGCATCAAATGTACATCCCAATAGTAATTGCAATAAAGCAATGGAAAGTGTCTTCTACAAATTGTTTATATTTAAAAAAGGTTACCATGAGGACATTTATGGGATAAATTTATAGAAATAAGTTTATATTTAAATAAACAAGCAAACAAACAAGTAAATAAATAAATAAAATCTGACCCCCCCCCCCTCTACCCCACCCATTGGTATTTCTTTCCTTTAACCTGGATTAGCTTCCTCTATTATATATACACACTGGTTTCTCACTCTCTGGGTTGTTTATTTTTGGAGGACTGCCCGTTCTCCTCTGGTATGGCAGCAGTGTAATGGCACTTTATCACTCTACATCAGGGGTAGTCAACCTTGGCTCTTTTATGACTCGTGGACTTCAATTCCCAGAATTCCTGAGCCAGCTTAGCTTAGCTTAGCCACCAGGATTTGATGACTGGGGATGTCAGCCTTGGTTTCCCTGATTCTAAGTCCTGCAGAAAATACATAAAAGCAGCCTGAAGCCCGTGCAGCTCCTTTCACTCAAACCAAATTATGATCTTCCAGGTCTCATTGGCACTTTCTTTGCAACAAATGTGTGAATTGTTTATTTTAAAAAGTCTTCTGATTGGCAGGGTTGACTTTTGGGGCATGTTTCCCACAAAGATGCTCACATAATAATATAATATAATAAAAGACCATTTAAAATCAAAGCATTGTCTAAAAACAGGTCGTGGTGTAGAAAGAGAAGCTGTTGGGAAGAATAACCATAGCTCTTGTGGCATGGTTTCAATAGCAGGATTTCCAGGAATGAGAGCAGAGAAATGCCACAGATGACTTTTCCTTTCAGCTTACTTAGAAGCTACATGAGTGATTCCATGAGACATTTCATTGCTGGGTGATGTATAATGTAGCCTGTCTGCAAGAAAGGCACTGTGATGTTGGTGCTGGAAGTTATAAAGGCCTAGTGTGGATAACCTCTAAGTCAGGGTCTTCAAACTTGGCCTTTTTATGATTTGTGGACTTCAACTCCCAAAATTCCTCAGCCAGCGTGCCTCGCTGAGGAATTCTGGGAGTTGAAGTCCACAAGTCATAAAAGGGCCAAGTTTGAAGACCCCTGGTCTAAGTGTTGATTCACACATTGCATAGTGTATAAAAAGAGGAGGCTTTGGTGTGGGTGAAGGAAGAAAGCAGGTTGATGGAGTGGTTCAGGTCCTGGACCAGACAGAGGGAAAAGGTAAGTTCTAGTCTTCCCTTAAGCATAGAAGTCAGCTGGGTCCAACCTCTCTCTCTCTCTCAGCCCAACTACTTCACAGAAATTTTGTTGTGCATGAAATAGAAGTCAGGAGCATTGTTTGTGCCACCTTGAGTTCTATCCATTCAAGGTAAGATATTAAATCTCATGATAAATAATACATAAAAATAAACTGTATAATAAATGGACGATAAGGCAGATTTTGCCAAATAAGCTCCTGCAAGGAACTGTTGCCATTAGTAGCATTTGAGCCTGACTGTACCTGGGACAGGTGCTCATGGAGAAAGGTCAAACAGGCATCCCAGAAAGACCCTGGAACTGAGAAACAGGAGGCCTATCTGAAATGTTTAGGAGACCAAGCAAGATGCTCACTGATTCCCTTCTCCTTACGCCTTATCAGCCCTTCCTCAAACACAGAGGAAGAATCTGAGCCTTGAAATATCCCCAGGCAAATTTGGCAAGCATAACTCCTTCCCAATTTGTTCAGTGCAATGTCTTTTTCTTGGCTTGAGATGGGCATCTTAAGAGAATAACCACTACCTTGAAATCCTCTTCACTGAGGACCAACAAACAAAGTTAAATATATAGGTGATATTAAGAATTTATGACGAAAGTGAACCAATATCCGCCCTCTTTGGAATCTCAGGTAAAATACAAATGCATTATCATGTTTAACATGTTGCTTGTCTTTCCCTCCCCTGTTCAATCTGACAGGAATTTATTATTTTATTTATGTATTATTTGTTTTATTTTACAAGATTTTGATGGCTGCCCATATTAAAAACAGCTCTGGGTGGCTCACAGCATTGAAACCCCATAATCATAAAGTCATAAACCACAATTAAAAAAAAAAAACCCACTGGTGCCTCAGTCACTCCCATGGGATGCCCCACAACCAACTCCAGATTTGGATATCCCCATAGCCAATGAAGGAAACAAGTGGGTTCTGCTTCTTCACATTGGTTGATTGAAGTTAGGAAATTCATTCAACTCCTGTCTTTTTTTCCCCTGACTATTAGCCTCTCTTGCTTCAGGTCACCCGATATGGCACTGAAAACCTGGCAGTGCTTAATGGGTCCATGAGGGTCAGCTGAGAAAACGTCTGTGTGTTTCTGTGTGTGTATATGTGAAGCTTTTCCTCCCTTCATTGTGGAGGTGGGACAGGTGGCCCTGAGATTCCTTCCCACGAGAAACAGTTTTATTACTCAATGCAAATTAAGCAAACAGAACAGAAAGAGTCTACTAGAACATTTGAGGCTTTTCTAATTACCCAGCCTGAATTTTGCAAGGCTGTCCATATTAGCCAAGCAAGTTAAACATTCTGATATTATTCTTCCTTTAATTCCACCCCTCTCCTCAATTCACTTATAGGTTTTACCGGATCCAAAGTCCTCAGTAGCTCTGTCTGAAGGACCAATAAAAGATGTTGTTTGACCTAAGCTCTTTGATATGGTACCCCCAAGTGGATTTGCCCCCTAATGGGCAGATATTGACTATGCTAGGCAGTGCAGAGGGCTCCCTGGTTGAGCTAGCTATAGTGGCTAATCTCAGAAGGGAGAAAAATGTAAGTCTTTCACATCCACGGCAGCTGAAAGCCAGCCAGGCAAGCCTTTGCAATAAGTCAGTCTCTCTCAATAACTCTCTCTCTCTCTCTCTCTCTCTCTCTCTCTCTCTCTCTCTCTCTCTCTCTCTCTCTCTCTCTCTCTCTCTCTCTCTCTCTCTCTCTCCTCCCCCCCCCCACAGGCTGAGATTTGATTTCAGAGACAGCATTCAGCGGATTGGTTTAGACTTTTCTTCTCTCTCCTACATTGTGCCCGTCCCTTAAAATTCTCTCCAGCACAGATTGGGGGAGCTTTGAGACTCTCTGTGTGTCTGTGACAGCAAGGAGTGTAAATAAAGGGGAAATAAGCAGGGATACTGTGGACACAATTGCAGTTCTCCCAGTAACTAGACAAAGTTGGTGACAAGAGTGGAAGTGACTTGCCAGGCAACAGTGGAAAACAAGGCTGTTCCCTGAAGCCAGATTGCCTAAAAACCAGCAAGCTTTCTTTTGTTGGTGTTTGGGACTTGAGAGTTTTGCCCCCATCCATCTGCAAGATCCAGGGAAGCATGTCTCTGGCTGGGAAGAAGAGCCAAGTACGCCTGGTGTTTCTGGGGGCAGCCGGGGTTGGCAAGACATCCCTCATCCGGCGATTCCTGCAGAACACATTTGAGCCAAAGCATCGTCGGACAGTAGAGGAGCTGCACAGCAAGGAGTATGAGGTTAGTGGAATTACCATCAAGGTGGAGATCCTGGACACTAGTGGTAGTTATTCGTTCCCAGCGATGCGCAAGCTCTCCATCCAGAACAGTGATGCTTTTGCTTTGGTGTATGCTGTGGATGATGCGGAGTCCTTTGAGTGTGTGAAGACGTTACACAGGGAGATCCTTGAGCTGAAAGAAGATAAGTTGCCACCGATTGTAGTGGTGGGCAATAAAGCGGAAACTGGTGGGGTTAGGCAAGTGTTGCCTGAAGATGTTCTCTCCGTGGTGGAGCTTGATTGGAACAACCGTTTCCTGGAGGCATCTGCTAAGGAGAATGAGAATGTGATGGAAGTTTTCAGGGAGCTGCTTCAGCAAGTCAACCTGCCCATCCTGCTGAGCCCTGTTGTGCGGAGAAGACGCGAGACTTTCTCCAGTGAAGCCCCCTTGAGGCCCCCCATGAACAAAGCAAATAGTTGTACCATCTGTTGAACTCTGTGAGAATGTCAGCATCAAGATGGTTTTCTTTTCTTTTGTTTTGTTTTGTTTTGCAAAACCTAGTCACTATCGGTATGGGATGTTGTCTGTAAACAGTGTCATATCTCTAAATCCAAGGTGATCTTCTCACCAAATTAAGGCTGTAATGTGTAAAGTGGAAGAGACACCTCCTGTATGACACAGAGCTCTACCTTGGCTAAGCTAAAGGAGGGAATATGGGTCAGTTGGCTAATGTCTGAAACAATAATGGAGGGTCAGCAAGGTATAGAGCACGAACTGCAAAGGTGAGCATTTGAGGAATCTCTTAAGGAACATTTCATTCTGGGGACATCTACAGATGGTTTGTATTTTCAGATGGCTGAGTAGATTTTGCTTCAAGAGGGGGAAGGTAGACAATTTCATGTTTATTGAACAGCAAATGTATGTGTGTTGCTTCCTATACTAGAGTGTTTTTTATTTCTAATTGCATGAATATGTCCTTGCACTGATTATGTTTACACTGAGCTAAATCATTTTGGTGACATCTCTGCATCTATACTCTGGAAAGAGATGCATCTCCCAGTGGGTCTGAACATGGTTTTGATTTTTTTCTAAATAACTTTTCAAAGCTTGTATCCAATAAAAGAAAAGTGAAACCCTGCCAGTAACTCTGCCAGAAGCACTTTGTATTTGCATTCTTGCTGTAAGGGGTGCAACTAGAACAGCAACACGCCACCAGTTTCTATTGCACTGATTTCTACTTTCTGATTTTGTTCTCATGCATTTCTAGGTCATGCACCTGCTGAGCTTGTATAGGTTGCTATGCTCTTGGGATTTTTGAGACAGATGCAAGATTGAGAGGATGCCTCTTAAGAGACATCAGTTTCAGTTCCTTCTTAGTTATACCCTTGTGGGCATAAACTCTGGGAATATCTTGTTCTCTCAGCTGGATTTCTGCAGAATGAAAGTGATAATAATCCCTCTTACTGATTAGGAAGCTATGAAAGAAATGTTGTTTGTTATGTCACATTACATTTATTTGCTAGGATAAAAGTTCCAGTGGCATCAGGAAGGCACTGCTGTGACTGATGTGCTTACGATTTCAGTTCACTTAAGCTACATAGATTAATAGGAAGTAATTTGTCTTCTGAGTTCTATCAAAAGAGGAACTACCAGGAGGTACATTTGTTCTGTGTTTTGTCACAGCAGAAAAGCAACAGTATGTATTTTATGAAGAAATGATTTTTCATACTGCAAAACAAAGCCATAAATACGGTAAACTGATAGTAAACAAAATTACAATTTGAAGGAAAGAGTGGATTGTAGATGGTGAACATAAGATGTTTTAGTAATCTTCATACATTAAACCAGAGTAGTGGATTACCCATTGAACTATCACATTTGTATTTATTTAAGCATTTATGAGTCAAAACAACGTTCCTACTTCTGGCTACTGCTCCCTCTGGTATTTCAATTCCCAATTCTTTTTACTAGCTGGGATTCTAGCAGATGAGTCGGTCATTCTCTCACATAGCCAGTCCAAAACATAAGCACAATTTCTCTCTTCTGGGCTCTTTGGTCAATACCCAATATAGTGGGAAGGTAGTTGGGTGCCTCACCGGTCCTCCTGTTCAGTGTTCCTGTGCATTTTTGGCCTTGAGGAACAAAACAAGATATTTCCTTCAGGGCTGGCTGCTAGTGAAATAATAATTGCATTAAAATGATAATGGGTGGCTGAAGATTTACGCCATATATGTTCAGTTCACAGATTAATATCTGTATCTTGATTGGTTGTGGGGAATTGTTGAAGATCGTATATGGGAATCAAGGAGTACATTCCTCAGGACACTCTTGCTACTGGCATGGTTGTGGGGAGACTGAGTTATGACTATGTCATGCAGAAGTGACACAGGGTCCTCCCAGAAGAGGGAGATCTAGAGAAGTGGTGCGAAGGGCAAGATCATGCACGAGACATCCCTGTATTAGAATGAACTCTGGCGACAATCTTTCCTTTAGAATGTCTGAGGTTGGCCATGCCTTAGGAACGATGAGTACAGAAGAACTAGCAAAAGTAGTGCACATTTAATTTACACCAATTTCTCTCATATCAAAAATAGTGGGAACTAAGCTTCTTCCCTCCCTCCCTCCTTCCCTCCTTATCTTAAAGGACAAAAATAAAAAGATTCCAATTAAAACCATTATCATTAGCAAAGAATTAATTTTATGTACAATATTTGGATGGCACCAAAGAGGCCCTTCTACTCTTTTTTCGCCCTTGCATAGCATAGTTTATTCTGAAAGGAAAAGGTGTGATGGGTATGTCTATATTATGAATAATAATGTTCATTAACAGGATTATTTTCTCTGCCCTTTTAACCGTTATAGGGTCTTATTTTTTTCCATCTTAATCCACCAGTCTGGAACTGAATCCATCTCTTTTTTTTGTCAGAATACTCAGCATTTTGAAGATACTATGTAATGCCACCTTTATCATTCCATATTTTAAAATATAGTCCATGGGGGGGGGGTTTGTGGCCCCTAGATGCTCAACACCACAACTACCAACTATCTGAGCATAACCAATGATGAGAGATGCTTGCATCTATAGTTCAGCATCTTTGGAATCATGGATTATTTGTCCTCAATATAAATGAACAGCATTAGCCCTGCAGATAGCTTCTTAATAGTTTTGATATCTACTCAGATGCCATTCTAAATGAGCTGCTTTATTTTGCTTCACCTACAAAATTGATCTACAATATATAATCCACCATAATGTGAACGTGACTTGGCCATTTCAAGAGGTGTACTTCTTCTGTCATGATTTTGAAAGAGGTACTGTTCATTCTCCTACATTACTGGAACTGACAGCCTCCCCATAATGTGCAAAAAAGCATCTTTACTTATGGACACCAACACCTAGCACATGGAACTAGTGGCAAGGAATGCATTCATAGAGTCTGGTCTCATCCCTTTAAACCAGTGGTTCTCAACCTGTGGGTCGGGACCCTATTTGGGGTCGAATGACCATTTCACAGGGGTCACCAAACAACGCAGTCCGCCATTTTTTCCCCTTTTCCTTAGCTGTGCTACTCCCTTTTATTCTATTGGCTTTTGAAAGCCAATAGAATAGACTCTCTTGAATAGAGTCTAATTCTATTGGCTTTCAAAATCCAATAGGAATTGTCCAGGCTGTCTCTGCCCTGCTGAGCCCACCAAAAGTCCCATTCTGCAAATGGTGCTGCACCAGTTGAGTAGTCCTCGACTTACGACCAGTTGAGTAGTCCTCGACGTATGACCGGTTGGGGGTCACGGCATTAAAAAGGTTGAGAACCACTGCTTTAAACTCTTAGAATCATTTTACCCCACTCTGTCAATCTCCATGCGGATTCCACTCTTGTAACCATCAGTGTGCCCAACAAGCCAATCAGGGGTCTATCTGCCTGACCAATGGGGGAATGATCTCCCATGCTTTGGTTGCCTTCCTCAACAAAGGTTAAGTCAAAAGTTTAATTCAATTTAAAAAGCATAAGGAAGTGGTGCTTTGGGACTGCGGGGCCAGGTTCTTGCCACGATCAGATATACTAAGAGTTTGCACACTGTTTCAAAGTTTACAATAAAGCTTCTCAGGTTCTTGTTCAGAAAGCAGGAGAGTCTATAAGGAAATCAACATACAGTCAGTATTTCCAATATGAGTTCAGGGAATTTAAATCCACATACCCCCCCCTTTGCCAAAAAATTAAAAGGTGAATATGGATTTTGAATTTGTATGGATTTTTGTGCAGCCTCATGTAACAGGATGAGAAGCTATATATGAAGGTGGCCATGAGGAGGCTATGCTGTGATTCAACTTTCATTCTCCAAAGCTGCTTTGAGGTATGCAGCAGCAGAATAATTATTTAACATAGTCATGGGTTTTTTCCTGTATTGAGCCTAAAGATGCAGCTGCTTTAAGGAACTTAACTCCAAAGCACCTTTTTAGAATCAAACGTGCTAGATGCATGTGCATATTTAAGGTACTCATATTTTTCTTGTCACATGATGGAAATCCTTGCAAATATATATCTGGCTCCTTCCCACTGGGCTTCACAGATTAGTGGACCTCGATAACAATATGATTACAATTTCTAGTCTCAATCTCAGGTATCACAGCAACCTAGTGGATACATCATCCATTTTGCTTCTGGCTCAGCGATGGGGAAACAGGAAAGTGCAGCAGAAAATATATCAGCCTATCTTAGCCACTAGAAATCATGAGCACGCAATACACTTTTCCCCTGGTAATGTAGCTTTATATAGGGATGCACAGGGAATCTGGGGCAACTAGAAATGTTACCTATTAGCCAAATAATCTTAGTTTTATTTGCATCTAATTCCTCAGGTGCTGCAAGTGCAGTTAATACATTAATGATTGCAATGATTTTCAGTAGGGCTATAAGCAGTGGTGGGATTCAGCCATTTCGCACCACTTCGGCAGAGCCGGTAGCTAATTTTTTGTTGCCTAGGCCCAGAATGGACTTCCGGAAGCGGCACCCACACAGAGAACCGGTTGTTCACATATTTGAATCCCACCACTGGCTGTAAGTAATCTCTATTGCTTCTCCCTGGTAAATTAACACAGGAAAAGCAATTGATTGTGGAAACAGAGGCTTAAGTAGATCAGAAAATGACAACTACATACAAAATTGTCTGCTCAATTTTGAACTCGAATCAATTACTCCCTCTAGTGGCTTTCTCTGAAAGTATTAGTTAACATACAACCAATAATACAACTGTTTGTAAACCGTCTTGCATGCATTCATGCATATCATACCTCCAACTAGCACAGGTCTGTGGACAGTGTCAAACTAATATACATCTCTCCCAATCAATACTCAGACATTTAAAATTATGTCTTTGCTAGTCTGCATGGGATAATTTGCATTTTAGATTTAGGCATGGACATTCTAGGCTTGAGCATAAATCTTTAGTTGTGCTGATATTTATTTTTTTATTTATTTATGAGACTTATATACCGCTTTAAGTGCAAGCACTCTCTAAGCGGTGTACACCAGTAAGCAATCTATATATATATATATATTTACATTGCCCCCAACAATCTGGGTCCTCATTTTACCTACCCCGGAAGGATGGAAGGCTGAGTCAACCTTGAGCCGGTGTGATTTGAACCGCTGACCTGCTGAACACAGTCAGCTAAAGTGGCCTGCAGTACTGCACTCTAACTGCTGCGCCACCTCGGCTCATTTAAAATTTAGGATTTGTCTCTTTAAAAGGACCAACTGTGGAAGGCTAAGAAGTCTGGTTGCAGCTAAGAGTGTTTTATGTCCAGCTGCAAGCTATTTCTCCATTAGGGGCTTATGGCATCTTTTAACTAAAACATGCTCGCTGTGGAATTATAGGAGTTGAAGTCCACACATTTTAAAGTTGCCAAGGTTGAAACAGGATTATCCAGTCAACACTGTGCTACAATTAAATAGGGGGAACGTCAGTAGAAAAGGAGCAGGATTTTGACTCCATCAATATTTTTGGTAACCATTCCATCTCATTTTTTTTTATTCTCTGTGGATACTTTTGTCCTAAGGTTAATTCATTGGTGAGTCTGTAATATGAAGATTTGATAAGTCTCCCCTCTACTGTCTCCTCCACAACTCTGATACAAATGTT